TCTTCTGATATTGGATCACCCGAACATGTCGTTGGATGAGCATTATGTGGTGGACGACCTGGACCTTTTTTTGTATTTTCCATTTTTCTCCACTAAAAATAAAAAGATAAAGAAAAAGATTTTTTTGTTTACAAAAATTATTACTTTAGCTCGTCGATTTTGAAACCATACTTGAACTCGTGATTCAATTAAATCAAGTCTCATGGCCAATGCTTCTCTCATATACACATCTGGATAATGACCTAAAAAGAAATTTCTTTTTTATTTTAAAACAAATTATTTGATCAACAAACCATCTTGAAAAGCTCTTTCTAATTCATCAATTTGTATACTAGTAAAATTTGTTCTTGTTCGTCGTCGTTTACTATCTCGATCATTACTACTTTCATCTTCACTTAAATTTGATCCTAAGAAGAAAAAAATTAATTAATAAAAGAATCGAGAGTTAATTTAATTAAACCTTGATCTTGTTCATCAATTGAATTATTCTTTTGTGTTGTTGTTGTTGTTGGAGATGATATATGTATTGGTGATGATGATTCATTTTGTATTGATAAACAAAGTGTATTTGGTTTACTTGGAATTAATGGTTGAAGAAGAAATGGAGATAAAAAATGATTTCGTAATGCATTTGAATAAAATTGTGAATTATAAAAATTATTTGTTGGAGTATTTGTTGGAAGATTTAAAAACATTGATGAAGAATTTGTTCGATTAAATGGACTTGTCGACATTTAGATATTTCAATTATTCAAAATAGAAAATTGCTTGTTAACTAAAGAGAGAGAGACAACAAACCTCTTTATATCTTTGAAAAGAAAGACGATTAATAAAATACATTTATGTTATTCTCTCTAATTTACATCGAGAGAAAGTAGGAGAGAGAGAGCGAGGGAGAGCGGGGAAAGAGAAAAAGAATTGATTCATATAAACCAATCATATTTCATTTGTTTTATTCATTGATTGGTTATTTTTTATTAACGAGAAAGAGAAAAAAAGAATATTTTTTGCCTTGAAAATCGATACACGATAACGAATAAAGACAATCGACTAAGCGAATATAACTCGTATTATAAATCTATTGTATTAATAAGAAACACGTTTTTTTTTCTGTGTAAGATGAAAATGTCAAACGAATATAATTTGATTTACGAAAGAAAATATGAATAATTGAAGGGTCTCTATAATATGTAACAACGAAACAAGTATTTATTTGTTTGTCTATATTAATCATCGATTATCGAAAGGAAGTTATTTTATATTTGATAAAAATCAATTGAATTGTATAGATTATAATGATTAGGGAGGAGAAATTAATCGTTAAAAGTGTCAATTATTTGAGAATGTTGATGAATAGAAGAAATTGTCTTTTCGATTATATTGTGATCGAAGCAATTAAATATTGTTTTGCCATTAATATATAACATGCAAAGTCTTTTTTCTTCTTCTTCTTCTTCTTGAGAAAAGAAAAATTGAGTAAATATAATTAAGGCAATCTGTCATATATGTGAATGATGTGTACATACTATTTAATCGTTGTAGAACGACATCAAAAATTATTATTTACATACAGATTTCAAATTTCGATATTGACCCAAAATGAGAAAGAGAGAAAAAAATTGATCGAATATACGAATCATTTGAAATGCTTTGTTGTTTAATAGGAGCAAATTTCAATCGGATATCAAATACTTCAATAATGTTATTTTCATAGTAGAATGTATTGGTGTTCATCATTTTGACAGGCTGCCCAATTATAAACTCTAACAAGAGAGAGAGTCACTCTCTTCTTCGTTTATTAACAAACGATGACTAGTAAAACAACATACATTTATAATTGATGATTGTTTGATGAGGTGATTCAATTTATATGTACGTGTGTCTATGGATTATTAAATGGTCATCATCATCATTATAGTTCGTGCTTATTCCATTCTTCTTCTCTTTCTCTCGCAGTCATTCTCGCCTTTTTATTTTCAATCTGACACTGGGGATTTCTTTCTATTACACACAAAGGAGCAATAGATAATCAAAAAAGAAAAAGCCGAATAAAAAGAGCAAAGCTCATTATTTATTTACATACAAAGTGCCAAATTAATAATGAATTAACTGTCATTTCAACGCGCCTTCCGATAGATAACACATATAGAAAAAAAAAAGAAGGAGACTAAACAAAAAAAAAAAAAAAAAGAAGAATTCTAGCATACATATCAAATAGATAATAGATTCTAAATGTGTTTGTTCCGATGATAATCATCATTGACAGAAGCTGATTCTAGTATCGTCTTTATCTATTCAACAGACAAAAAAAAGCGAGCCAAAGAAATTTGCAAGTCAATTGATTATTGAACAATATGTCATTTTATATTCGAAAGAAAAATAGATGATCAATATTCTTTATTTGGGTTTTTAATAATAATTAAATTTTCTATTTGATAATTCTTTTTCTTCTTTCACAATGTTTTTAATTGACTTGGAAATAGAAAAAACAAAAGGTAAAAGGGAACTATTCAGAAGTTTGAATGTGAAACGTCAACATCTGGTCACGCGTTTAAACAATGAATCAATTCATTTATTAGTTATCAAACATTAACCTTGTTATGTTTTAACAATCTCACATTTTTTTTATATTAAAAATAATTCATATCTTTCACTTTTTAATAGAACATCTAGACAGAAATTTGCTCAACAAATAGAATAATAAATTCTTTATTTGATATTAATCTACTAGAATTTATAATCAATCAAATAATAGGAAAAAGAGATTTTTTAGTTGAACAAAATCATTTATTTTCAAGAGGAAATATTATTATGTTTATATTGAAATTAATTTCCTCATTTATGAAATCGTTAGAATTCAATTTCATTTATAATTGAAAACGATGATTTTATGTTTTGTTATCAATAGAAGTTTCTTCAGAAATTCTTGGAATGATTAGCCAATCTAAATAAAATAAAAATAGATGAAAATGACTTCTGTTAATACGTTGTTTATTTAACTTCTTGGCAATATGACTTTGAAACTCGTAAGAATATTTAAATATGCAAATTCCCAATTTTAAAAATAAATGTAGAAAATAGAGTATATTTAAATTTGACTTAAACTAAAACTTTCTTGAAATATATTCAATTGTTCTATTTTGTTATGTATTATTATAATAAATCGATGTCATTTTTTTATAAATAATTTTACAATATAAATCATAGGAACTTGAAGATATCCTTTAAGATTTACATAGGCTATAATTGGTTATCTCAATATTAAAAGAAAAATAGTAAAATACTATTTATCAATTAGTATGTATATATCGTGTGTTGAAGTTCTTTTCAAAGAGTGAAATTATAATATTTACTGACTGTACTCTTCAAATACATATTTCTCTTTTGTTCTACTGTACTGGTTTTTTCTTAATTTCTTTACGTGTGATCTTATCGTATAGGGATTTACCTTAATCGTTGTACCTCAAAGGTGTATGATCCTCTATCGTATATATAATCTGTGATTTTTCTAGAATAAAAAAAATCAATTTTCTATTTACTGACGATTCATCACCAATACTCGATCCGCTGTATGAACATCATCAGTCTTGTTGGCTAGTACTAATGATAATAGTCAATGAAAATGAAATTCAACGCAGAACTTCTGAAACTCAAGAACGATTAATCGAACAATAGACTTCATATTGGAACGTTATCAGCAAACCGTTGAGATAATTATGAGCGTGAAACTGAAGCGATATTCTGAAAGAAGTGAACAAGAAGTATTACATCTCTTTGATCGAAGTTATAACTTCAATACGGCAAATAAATAGAAAATAGATACTAACTTAATATTATAATTTGTATTAATAGTTATTAGATTTAAAATTCACTCTCATCACTTTTAAGTTTACATCGTTCGCCTATAAGAGTACAAACATCAATATGTATTTAAAGATAAATAGTAATACTCTTTAATAAGACAATATATATCACATTAGCTATGATAATATTTCGATAGATAATTTCATATTGATATTATAAAATGAACAGTTTGCAGATATGTAAGTTATATCCATCATATCGATAGATGGCAGTTTCGTATGGTTATTTTTTCATATTTTAATACTATTATTTATGATTGTTTCGAAGATAAAACAAATTTTCTAAAATAGAAAAAATAAATATGTTTAAATAAAGATAAAAAAGTCTTTAGTTAAGAATTTGATTGGTAAAAATCAATCAAATGATTGATCTGGCTTTTTTGTTACTAACTAACTAACTACTACTACTATTATTACGAGAGCGTACGTTAAAAAAAAGTAGATTATATTAACCTAATGACTACATTAGCTCGACAACGATGGCGTATGCTGGGCGAGGTAAATTTCAATCTAAATCTATAAAATTCTTAATTAAATTGTTAATATCTAGGTTCTTCTAAGTAAAAATCTTGATTTATCTTCTGAACATGAAGATATATCTGTGATGCGTTTTAAAACATATGGATTATATGTACGAAGTTTATTATCATCACATGATCAAGATGATGGAACATGGTGTCAAATTGAATTTCCTTCAATTGAAGATAATCATTCAAATATTCTTTCATTAGATATTCGGTTAGTTTTTATTCAAACATATCCATATGACATTTAATTTGATTTTTTCATTTGAAAAGATTATGTTCAAGTAAAATAGATTATGCAGATCTAATGGGATTTAATAATACTGGAAATACTTGTATGTTTTATTTTCAATTAGAATTTCTTATTTATTTTGAGAAAAAAAGGTATATGGCCGTCGGAAGAAGTTCTTGCATTTTATTGTTTAAAAGAAAAACAAATTTTCGAGTAAAATTTATTTTAAAATATAAGAAAACAAATGAAAATATTGAGAAATGTTTAGAAATAAAAGTGTTTGTGAACTTGGTGGTGGTATGACATGTTTAGCAGGTCTTGCTGTAAGTATTGTTATGAGAATAAAATGAATGAAATATATTTAATCAAAGAAAATAAGTATGCATGTTATTTATTATTTTTTATTGCATGTTTTATTAATCACAGTTGGCTCGGTCAATATCACTGAATGAGCTTGTTGCTACGGATGGAAATGAAAAAAGCATTGCCAGTATTTATTATTTGTTAAAATTATTTTAACATTTTGATTTTTATTTCCATTTTGTAAAGATTTAAATGCGATTTTAAAAGCAAAAAGTAATGAAAATAATTGGTTATGTCCCATAGAATCTCAAGTACTTATTTGGAGTCGACAATTAAATGATCCAAAATTAAAAGAACGTTTTGATTTTATTATTTCAGCTGATTGGTAATTGAAAATATTGGATGGATTTTTTTAGTTTTTTTTTCCTTTTTAGTTTTTTCTTTGAAGATCTTCATCATGATCTTTGTCATACAATTTATTATATGTTAAAAGATTCAGTAAATTATCTTTCTTTATTTATTTTATCTAAATCATTTATTTTTTAGGGTGTTGCAATAAATTTTGCTCCACATCGTTCAAAAACTTTAAATAAATTTCTTTCAATTGCTGAAACATATCCATTTGAATGTCGTGTATTTGAACAGTATGATAATGATGTTTTTAATAAACATTTACAAGTAATTAGATTTTTAAATAATTTATTTTTATTTTTATTGAAATTAATTTAGGCCCAACAAATCAATAAATCTTATTCAAGTGATCTTCATTATCCGATACTTGTCATATTACGTAAACTTCCAGCAAAAGTTTATTCGTAATTGATAATTTGAATCATTCCATGCATTTTTTTTTATTTTTAATTCATTTAAAAAAAACCAAAACAAAACTAATGATCTTGATAAAATAATAAATATTTATTTCCTTTCTATTGTTGTTTTTGTGAATATTGTAGATGAAATTATCACGTCATAAATTTATTCGTCGTATTCTTAATTATTATCGAACACATTTTAATATTGAATATCCATTTCTTATTTTAATTGATGGAACATTTGCATTTGAAGCACTTCAATGGAAAATTCAAATTGATGAACAATTAAAAGCATATTTAGAAACTGATCAAATTATTTGTTCAACTACTTTATGTGCTATTAGAGAAACTGAATTATTAGGTAATATGTTGATCAAACTCGTATATTCTATTCATTCTCTTTTCAATGTCAATTTTAAAAAGAAAATTACCGGAAGACTTAAATTCCTTTTTTGAACTGAATAAATAATTGATTGTCACACGTCATCACGGAAAAAGTTTCTTTCGAATGCTTTTAGTTATACTATTAACTTATGTATTGATCGGTTACAGTCAATAGAAGAATTTTTATATAATATAAACGTTCCTATTTCTAGACTATTGAAATTCTATCGCGTGAGGAAGATTAAAGAGAAAATTATATTTCTAATTTCGCTGATTGATAAAGTGAGGTAGATTTTTCTTCTCATTTCCTTATTGTATCTACATAGATTTTCCTAATAAATATTTTTCTTCTAGGTGGAGTTGCGTTTGGTGCAATGTTAATATTAAAACAATATGAAATAGTAAAATGTGATCATTATCCATCAATATCAGCTGAAAAATGTTTTCAACAAGTTTTAATCAAAGATAATACAAAAAAATATTTTCTCGCATCACAAGTTCGTTTAGTTTATTTTTTGTTTATTTAAAAAAAAGATTAATTTTTCATTTAGTCATTATCATTACGAGAATATAGTCATGATCGTCGTCCAGATTTACCTACAATGTTAATAACACATAATGCAATAAATTTAGAACGTCCATCATTAAATACTCGTTCAATAGTTGAACAAACAAAAAAAGAACGATTAGGTGTTAGTAAACATGATTCAAATATTTTAAAGAAAATTAAACATGAACTTAATCTCGATGAAAATGAAGATAATGTAACAAAAAAGAAAAAGAAAAAACATGGAATTAATCCATTATCAGTCAAAAAAAAGACAAAAAAGAAATCAATTAATAATAATAATAATAATACTGTAGTAAAAAAGAAAAGACGTCGGACAAGACAAATAAGAATGTCA